AGCACATACCCATCTCTGAATTTTAATATTTCAATGACTCTGTTATATATATATATATATATATATATATATATATATATATATATATATATATAGAGAGAGAGAGAGGGGGAGGGAGGGAGGGAGGGAGGGAGGGAGGGAGAGAGAGAGAGAGAGAGAGAGAAAGAAAGAAAGAAAGAAAGAAAGAAGTAGGTTGTTTCCAATTTCTGAATATTACAAATAGAGCTGCAATTAACATGATTGAGCAAATGTCTCTGAATTAGGAAAAAGCATCCTTTGGGTATATGCTCAAGAGTAGAATAGCTAGATTATCAGGTAGAGCTATTCTCAGCTTCCAGAGAAACTACCACAGTGATTTCTTTCATGACCATACAATTTTGAACTCCCATTATCAGTAGATATTTGTGCCTTTTATGTCACATCCTCACCAGCATGAGCTTTCTTCTTTGTTTTTATTGACAAATATAATTGAATGGCATAAGGTGAAATCTGAAAGTGGTTTTGATTTGCTTTTCCCTGGCAAAGGGTGTTAAACATTTCTTTAAGTGTTTCACAGCCATTTGAGTTTCCTCTTGGAGAATTTTTTTTGTTTGGATCTGTACTCCATTTTCAATTGGGTTATTTGATTTCTTGATGTCTAGATTTTAAATTTTTTATATATTTTAGATATTAGCCCTCTATCAAATATGTAGTTGGTAAAAATATTTGTCTAAATTATAGTGTTCTTTGCTTTGTAAAATCTTATCAGTTTTATGAGGTTCCATTTATTAATTGTTGTTATTAACCACTATGCTGAAGGTGTTTTGTTCTGAAGGTTTTCACCTGTGCTAATGAGTTAAAGATTATTCTTCACTTTCTCTTCTATCGGATTCAGTATATCTAGACTTATGTTGAGATCCTTGATCCATTTGGAGTTAAGTTTTGAGTGATAAGTGTGGATTTATTTATATTACTTTAGATAAGTGTGGATTTATTTATATTACTTTACATGTATACATCCAGTTTGAACAGCACAATTTGTTAAAGATGCTGTCTTTTTCCGGTGTGTATTTTTGATTCCTATATTAAAAAGTAGGTGTCCATAGTTGTGTGGACTACTTATGTTTGGGACTTCAATTTGTGATAAATGTGTCTGTTTTTGTTCAGATACCATGCTGTTTTTATTATTATAACTCTGCAGTACAATTTGGGATGGAGAGTGGTGATGTTTCCAGCAGTTCTTTTAATATTCAAGAGTTTTTAGCTATCCGGGGTTTTTGTATTTCCATATATAGCTGAAAATTGGTCTTTCAAGATCCATGCAGAAGTATTTTGGAATTTTGTTGGGTATTTCGTTGAATAGGTTGCTTTTGTTAGGATGGCCATTTTGCTATATTAATCCTATTGATCCACGAGCATAGGAGAGCTTTCCATTTTCTGATATCTTCTGTGTCTTAAAGTTTTTTTTTTTTTATCATACTTTCACTTGCTTGGCTAGAGTTACCATAAGTTATTTCATATTATTTGAGGCTACCATGAAATGTGTTTTTTCCCTGATTTCTTTCTCAGTCCATTTGTATACAGGAAGGCTGCTAATTTTTGTGAGTTTATTTTATATCTAGCTACTTTACTGAAAGTGTTTATCAGCTTTAGGGGTTTCCTGGTTGTATATTTAGGGTCATTTATGTATACCATTATAATACCTGCAAAAAGTACTTTAATTTCTTTTATTCCTATTTTTATCTTTGCTGTGTACACTTTGTGCTTTGAATATAATGTTCTATGGGGAATTTATTTTCTTGTCTGGTCTATTTGATGTTCTGTATGCTTCTTGTACTTTGCTTGACATCTCTTTTTTTGAAACTAAGGAAATTTTCCTCTATGATTCTGTTGAAAATATTTTCTGTGTCTTTGACCTGTGTTTCTTTTCCTTTTTCTAATACTAATCTTCATAGAATTGGGTTTTTTTCATATTGTCCCAAATTTCTTGGGTATATTGTGCCTGAATTTTATTACAGATTTTTATTTATTCTTAAGATTTCAGGTGAAAAACAAAATAAAAATTCATTACATTTTAGATAGGTAAAAGTGACTATCTTTCAAAAAAAAGTTTCTTTTTCTCTGAAGTATTGATTTTGCCCTAAATCTTTAATTTATTTTTATTGGTAACACTTCTTCCTTGCTTTTTTATTCATTAAATTTGTTCTCTGAAAATTTTATATATGTCTATAATGAATTCTGGTTGCCTAGTCCCTCCTCTTGTCTCCCTCCTACGCTGATCAATTTTCCCTCTTTCCACCAGATTCCTTTCCCATGTTAATTTTTTTACTTGTTTTGTGACCTACTGAGTTTAATCAGAGCCATCTGCTTGGCCATGAATATGGAAGTATCTACTGGAATCTGTGAGCTCATCAATGTGCACACATCTGAAGATAATATTCTTTCTTCCCCAAGAATATTTCGATAGAAAACAGTTCTGCAGGGGGTGGGAAAAGGGCTATATGAGGCCCTTCCATACCCATGACCCACAATTGACAGGTCTAGTCTTGTATAGGCCCAGAGCAGGCAAATTCAGCTACTATGTATCTATGATTGCAATGACTAGGTTGAACCCAGACAATAACATTTTACTACTCTTCTCTTGTCTTTTAGTTATTACATCATTTCTATCCCTTCTCCTACACATTATCTGAACTTAGAAATGTAGTGTAAATACACTGATTAATGCATTTCTCTAAGAAATAAACAGGGATGTTTAAGAATCAGTTTGATACCACATCATCAATTTAGCTAAACAATAGTGATAAGTTACCCTTTAGGACACCTTACATCCCCAGCCATAACTATTTGACAAGATTTACAATAATATGCTTAAAATCCCTTCTGCAGAGCAGGACTTGAATCCTAGAGATTAGTCCATTGCCCCTTAACAGTTATGCCACTATTACAGCAGTGGAACCTCTTGCCTGGTGTGTTAGTATTGTAATTCACAGCTGGGTTATACCTCTCATGCCTTTTCATCCCAAGGTAGCCATGGCTTTTTGACCAGATTTACAGTACCAGACACTGTATTCTCTCCTATAGTACAGATTTCAGATCCAATAAGGAAATGATGGTTATCCCAATAAACAGTACTGTCACTATTTCACAGGTAGGTACATCTTGTTTGACTCAGTATTGAGACATGTAGAGTCCACTGTTGGGTAAGTCCGTTGATAAGGTTTATCCCTAGTGACTTTCATAGACATTCCATCACTGTGAAAGCTATCTAGCTGGGAGAAAGTTTCCAGGTCAGTTCCAGTTTGATTTCTCTTTGCTTTTCAACCAGGATGTTTTATTTCTCTAACAATAGGTACTTACCATCTAGTTATTATAAAACATGATTAATTTTAAATTTAATAAACTTGGAGCTGGAAAAAATGGTTCATCTATTAGAGCACCTGCTATTCTTACAGAGGATCTGTTTCAATTCCCAGCACTCAATAACTCAAAACTATCTGTGATTTCACTTCTTGAAGATCTGATTCCTCACCTGGCCTCTACTGGCACCAGGCACACCCATGGTTTATATACATATGCAGGCAAATCTCATGAACATAAAATAAAATAATATTTTTAAAAATTTAATAAAGTTTATTCTCTTGATCACTTTCTTCTTACTGAAAATATATGTGTCAAATGAACAGAATAAGGAAGTAGCCATACTTTTCTTTTTTCTAACACAGGTTTCCCCCTGCTATTTAACATCTTGACTTAGTATGGTATATTTATTAGACGTGAACAATTGTAGACAGATTATGACTAATTAAAATTAAATTTGTATTAGTGTTCACTCATGTTGTACTATTGACTCTTAACACCTTGTTGTATTGATGAGATGAAGATAACTTTTGCTCATTGACCTTAAGTTGCTTGCCTCAAAGTGAGACCCATTAATTCAAAAGCTCATGAAGGTCACATTCATACCTTTGCATAGCTAATTGTTTTCAATATATTACAAGTAAGTTGTTTTTACTCATTCAGTGCCATCCTGCTTTGGATGCTGTGTAGGTTGCTCCTAACACATGCTAGACAAAGACAAGATGAACTCTGTTGATGTGAAATGAACAAATCAAAAACATTGAAACTGCTGACACTGTTCAGAATTCTCTGACCAGGGACTCCCTTCTGTGCTGTGGAAAGGTGTAACACATACAAACACACACACACACACACACACACACACACACACACACACACACACACACACTCAACTTTTCTCTAGCTGTGAGATTTCCTTGGTCCTTCTGAATGATAGTCCTGGGTGCATCTCCTGTAAAACTGCTAAAGTGCTTCCCAAACAGAAAGGTTTTGTGTGCTATTTTTCCCCTGTGGTTTTATCTTTTTCCATAACCATACCCCAAAATCCTGATAATTATCATGTAGGTTCATAATGTCATATATCTACCATCACAGTATCATGCGGGAAAAAAATCATCGTCCTAAAACTTCTGTAAGCTATAAGCATTTATCCCTCTTTTCCTCCTACAAGAAAGGTTTGCAGCTGTTTGGGCTGCATCTGTGCCTCTACTTTCTAGAATGTAACATAGTATCATTCAAGATCTTTTTCTCACTTACAAAGATTACATTAAGCTTCATCCATGTTACTCATTCCTGTTTAGAAGTTATTTTTGAAACTCTCCCTCTCCTTGTGTGTCTCTCTTTCTTTCACTCTTGCCCTCTCTTGCTCTCACTTTCTCTCTTGCTCTGTCTTCCTCTCTCACACTCTTTTGCTCTCTATCTATCAAGAACCAAAAAATGAAAAAACAAGAAACAAAAGCAAAACAAGAAAAGAAACACACAAAATATCAAAACAAACAAGCAAAAGACCAATAAGTCAAAAAGAAACAAAAGACAAAGTCCTCCAAAATACCAGTGAGTTAGTTTTTGGGCTGGCCAACTACTCCTGGGCTTGGATCTGCCCTGGAGTGTGGTTAATATACCAGTGAGATTCCATTGGATAAAATGGAGTTTTCCTTTGCCAGTGGGTATCAATTGCAGATAGCTTTTGGTAGGGGTAGGACCTCATTTCTACTTCCCCTTCTCTGGGCTGAGACTCTGTCTGCCTTAAGCCTGTGCAGGCTTTGTGTGTGCTGCCCTAGTCTCAGGTTCATATGTTAATCAGTCCTGCTGTGTCTGAAAGACAATTGTTTCCTTGCAGTCATCCATTACTTCTTGCTCTTACAATCTTTCTGATTCCTCTTCTGCTTAGATCCCTGAACCTTAAGCGAGAGGGGTCTGATGAAGACAACTCATTCAACACTGAGCTTTCCAAAGTCTCTCACTCTCTCCATATTATGTGTTGATTCCCATATATTGCAAGAAGAAACTCCTTGAATCAGAGTTGAGGTAGTCACTGATCTATGGGTATAGCAGTATGTTATTAGTCATTTTATTGCTTTAGCAGAATAATAGTATTAGGTTTTTCTGTAGAGCCATGATTTATCTGATCTCTGATTGTTGGCCTCCTTAGGACTGTCAGATATGGTTTCTGTCTCATGGAGTAGGCCTTAAATCTAATCAAAATTGATTGGTTACTGCACTAACATTTATATTACCATTGCACCACTTATTTTATTTATTTATTTTTGATTAAGAAAAAAGTTGTTTCATTTTACATACCAATCACAGATACCCCTCTTCCCTACTCCCACTTCTCCAGCAGTACCTTGTACATTAAGTAGAGGCAGGTCCAAGTCCCTCCCCCTGCCTCAAGGTTGTGTGAGGTATCCCATCATAGGTAGTGGGCTCCAAAAAGCCAGTGCATGCACCAGGGATGGATCTTGATCCTATTGCCAGAGGCCCTTTTAAGCAGGTCAAGCCACACAACTGTCTTCCTTATGCAGAGGGCCTAGTCCAATCCTGTGGAGGCTCTGCAGGTGTTGGTCTAAATTTTGTGAGTTCCCACTAGTTTGGTTTGATTGTCTCTGTATGTTTCCCCATCATGATCTTGATGCCCCTTGCTCATAGAATCCCTCTTCTCTCTCTTTTACTGGATGAAGGCTCTATGATGACAGCTAGGGTATTCACCCCTCTGATTACTGGGGTAAGCCAGTTAAGGCACCCTCTCCACTATTGCCAGTAGTCTAAGATGGGGTCATCCTTGTGGATTCATGGGAATTTCTCTAGCACCTGGTTTCTCCCTATCCCCATGATGTCTTCCTCCATCATGGTATCTCTTTCATTGCTCTCCCACTCCATCCCTGGTTCAGCTTGACCATCCCATTCCCTTGTGTTCTCATTCCTCATCCTCTACCCTCAATTGTGCACCCCTCATCCACAGTTTACTCATGCAGATCTCATCTATTTCCCCTTCCCATCAGGTCATACTTCAAAAACCTATACTCCACAAAATTGGAAAATCTAAAAGAAATGGATTTTTTTCTGGATAGGTACCACATACCAAAATTAAAGCAAGACCAGATAAGCAATTTAATAGACTTATAACCCCTAATGAAATAGAAACAGTCATTAAAAGTTTCCCAACCAAAAAGCCCTAGACCACATAGTTTCAGTGCCAAATTCTACCAGAATTTCAAAGAAGAGCTAATACCAATACTCTTCAAATTGTTTCACACAATAGAAACAGAATGAACAGCACCAGTTCTTTTATTAATTAATAATATTTCATTGAATGAATGTATCAGAGTTGGTTTCTTCACTCACTTATTGAAGGACATTTTGATTGCTTCCAATTTTTAGAAACTGGGAATAAAGATATTATTAACATTTATATAAATTTCAGTATTGACATACATTTCATTTGGACTACATCTAGAATCATGCCTATGGAAAGAAAGTGTGGTAAGCCCATTTAGCACATTTAGCACTGATAGAGAGTGCTAAACAGTCTTCCATAGAGTCTGAATCATTCTGCATTGCTCCCAACTATTCACAATAATCCTATTGTTCTCATTTTTTGCCATCATTTTGTGCTGTCAGTGGTTTGGATTTCAGCTATTCTAATAATAGGTTGATAGCTTATTGTTGTTTTAATTCACAGTATCCTAATGAGACAATATTGAGCTAATTTTCATTTATTTACTGTAGAGATCAGGCTATACCCTGATTCACTTTACATCTTGTGGAATAGTAACTTTCAAGCTGAGTATTGCCCTGAGTGACTCCATTTCACATTGCAGAATTTTGTTACATTCTGAGTTCACATACTAAGTCAAAATAACTGTGTACATTTCTGAAAGTAAAACATCATCACCAACCCAGTATGAATCTTGAGGAACAAAACTACAAATAACTTAATCAACCAATTAAAGAAAATAAAACTAATGAAGTTATCAAAATGGGTGAGGAACACCTGGGCACATGGGCATATCAAGACTTTATCATAAAATGCAGGCCTGTTATTGAATACATCAGATCAAGGGAGGCGGCAGCCTCCTCATCTGTATCAGACAAAAGATGGAGGATTTAACACAAGGGGGCAGTAGTGCCTGCCACACTCTCATCTACAAACCTTGTGCATGTATCACAAGACACACAAGCTGTGGATTGCCTACTGTCCCTGGAGCCTCAGCTCAGCGAAGTCTCCACTACATGACACAGCCTACTCATATTACCATTTTCCCTGACCTAGTCTTGCACATTGCCTTGATTTGCTTTCAGTCCAGCCTATCTTTGAAATGGCTCAACACCTCTAGTAGGTCCTTAAAATCTTCTCTAACCATTTGTAGTAAAACTTTCTGCTTCTGTATCAATTAAATAATTAGTAATTAAAATACCTTCAAGATAAACAAAGTTATCTTAAGTCAAGTATGTGTGGATGCTTGAGGGGGCAGAAGATAGAACAGGGAAAAACAGAGAGAATGACTTCAACAAAAGATGTGAACATGTTTACTACTTCACACTCTTTTCTTTGGATTATTATTGTCCTTCACAGAACAACTCAGAGTGATTGGCTCAGAGGGGCCAGTCCTGGCTCCATTGGGTGGAACCCTTGAACTCAGTTGTCAATTGTCTCCACCACAACATGCACAGCACATGGAGATTCGCTGGTTCAGGAACCTTTATATGCAGCCAGTGTACCTGTACAGGGATGGTAAAGACATGTATGGAGAAACTATCTCCAAGTATGTGGAGCGAACTGAACTCATAAAAGATGCCATTGGAGAAGGGAAAGTGACCCTCAGGATTTTTAAAGTGGCAGTTGATGATGATGGGCCATACCGCTGCCTCTTCAAAGACGGTGAAATCTCTGGAGAGCACATTACAGAGGTCAAGGTCACAGGTAAGCATGGATTCCTCTGAATCTGCTGTGTGTACCCGTGATTCAAAGCCTATCTAAGGCTGAGTGGTCAGAAAATTCTTACTGTTAAACTCTAATTGTATGGTTTGATTAGCAAACTGAATTCTATGCATTTAGTTTTTTAATTAAATGTCATGAAGACCAAAAATGAAAATTGGTAGAGTGCAGCAACTTGTTCTATCAGTTAATACTTTCTTGTTATATCTATATGCATTGTTAGATTTTTAACATATTATTAGATTTCTTTTAGGTTGTTTTGCTATGCTTTCAAATATTCCTGACAACACTATAGTAATTTTCCAAATGAACTGAATTAAAAAATATACTTCTTACTAGAAAGTTGGGTGGCTGGGACATGGAAAGGGTATGGGAGGTGGAGGGAAGAAGATAAACATGAACAAAATATATTGAATGAAAGATTTTAATTAAAGAAAGAAAACATTCTTTTTCCTGATGATACTTATTTCTATTTCTCTCCAAAGCAATTCAGTGACTACTTAGTACCTGATTAATTTTCCTAAACCTTTTTCAAAATATTTAACTGTAATCATCATTATCCTGAGATATAATGCTATATATGAAGTATAGGTAACTATATGGCATTTAATCTACTTTTCTCACTCTGAATTATTCTGGATGAAAAATAAGTGGAGGAAAAGTAGAAAGTTTTAAGGAAAATGAACAAATTCATGAAAGTGTGCACATACATGTAGCCTCTAGATCCAGATGAGTCTTTATTGGATGTCATGCAACATTCAACTCTATAGTGTAGAGCAGAGCTATACAATGTAGCTCATTGCAATTTTTATTAGTCTTATGGGGCAAACAGCTACTGTGTTAGCACAGATAAATAATATTTTTGTTATTACAGGGACATTATACAAGACAGAGCACTTTTGGTACAAAGCTTTAAATCTGTATTCATTTTTTCTTTGCCTATCCATTAGACAAGTTTTATGTCTCAGAAAATACCCTGAAAGTTTCAGATATGCTCATTTTCTCTAGATTAATTTTTACTTTTCATACTATTAATGTATTGCATGTTTCGTATGAAACATATTTTATAAAATTTTCTGCTATGGAAATAGACAAAGTTTCAACTAAAGTTCCACAATTGTGTTTATAATGAAATTCATCTTTATAATTAATTTACAGTGGTTCACAAATAATTAATGACAATGATAATAGGAAAAAAATTATAAATTCTATGAGGGTCAAAATCTTGACTTCTGTTCATAATAATCCAAAGGCCTAGGTTAATTGCTTAGACTTAGTAAGTAATCAAAAATTATTTTAAATAAATGAATAAACAAGTGAAACAGGCATTTCCTCAGCTAACTTAGTTTGGACAGGTTGCTGACTGTGTATTATAGCCTTTCTATCTGACTCTTGCCATTTTCATGAGCTTTTTTTTTTTTTTTCAAGACAAGATTTCCCTGTGTTACATCCCTAGCTATCCTGGAACTAGCTCTGTGTACCAGGATATCCTCAAACTCACAGGGATCCACTTGCCTCCCAAGTCTGGGATTAAAGGACTGTGACACCACAGCCCAGCATCGTGAGATTCTTAGGGCAACCTGAGTCCTGTCAAGTTTTGACTATTGTATCTTTTGAAACTGGAATTAAAACTGAAAAGAGCTTTTACTTTTGTTTTGTTTCCTCTTCTAAAATATTGTTTGCCTCTGTTGTTTTCAACTAGCCACAAGCTCAGACCTACAGATTCTTATGCATCCCCCTAATACCAAAGGTGTGATGTTGGAGTGTCATGCAGGAGGTTTGTTTCCACTGCCTCATATGGAATGGAGAGACAGCAAAGGGGAGGTCATTCCAGCAACATCAAAATCCCATTCACGGGATGGAAACAAATTGTTCAACATGACAATAGCCCTTCTTATCGAAACCAGTTCCCACAGGAATGTCACTTGCTATCTTCAAAATCGTCTAACTCACCAAGAAGAGAGCATATGTGTCATCCTATCAGGTAAAATGTGTGTTTGTTCTTTGGTAATAGCCATTGTCACACATACTTACGTATCACTTCTTCCTTACTCTTGGCCTTACTCATCGCTTAGGTTGTTGTCTCTTACTTTCTTTGACTTATTTATTTTCTCACTTTATAGTCTTGACCATTGTAGTTTGCTTTTCTGTCACTGTGATAAAAAATCACAAACAAAATGGAGTAGAGGAAGAGGCTATTTGGATTACACTTCTACCTCTTAGTGCTTCATCAAGGAAGCCTGAGCAGGAGCTTAAAGTAGGAACTTGGAAGCAGGAACTGAAGTAGGGACCACAGAGCAATACTGTTCACTGGCTTTCTCAGCTTTCTTTCTTATACAGCTCAGGAATCCCTGCCAAGGATGGTACCACCCTCCCCCAGGGGCCTGGGTCCTACCACATCAACCATCAATCAAGCAAATGTCACACACATGGCCTAAGTCTAATCAGATGGATGGAATTCCTCAATTGGGGTTTTCTCTTCCCAAATGAATCTAGTTTGTGTCAAGGCAACAAATTGACAATGAAAGTTCTAAGGCATACTTTTGAGGCCTTACTCTCTTCTGACTCCCTTTTATCTCATGGCTTTAAGTAACACCAGAACTCTCACTCTTCCTTAAGGTGTATCTCCTCCCTCCTTCTGCATTCATCTGAAAATTTGTAAGTCAACCCAAAATTCTAATAAATATTGTAAAATAACCATATCAAGAACTAAACTCATGGTTACTCCAAAGCTTGCTTAATTTAGTGCTTTGAAGTAGCATTTTATATTTTCAGTTTTTTACAACCAAAATATTAAAATTACTGTCGACTTCATTTTCTTTTTTTATTTTATTTAATTTCTTTTTTTAAATTTTTTTTATTAAGAGATTTTCTATTCATTTTATATATCAACCTCAGATTACCCTATTCTCCCTCCTCCCACGCCCCAGCCTTTCCTCCACCCACCCCCAATTCCCACCTCCTCCAAGGCAAGGTCTCCCATGGGGAATCAGCAGAGCCTGGTACATTCAGTTGAGATAGGTCCAAGTCCCTCTTCCCTACACCAAAGCTATGCAAAGGGACTTCATTTTCTATCACATCCCCATAGGCAGATAACTAATATAAAGCGCACCATGAAAATAACATCCAGAGTTTCATTGTTACTGGAGTCCCAAGACAGATGTCTAACTTAGGGCCCCAGAGTCCGATGGTTCCAATGATCCAGATTTAGTCAAGTATTCTAAAAATAAAACTAGGTGTAAAGCCTGATGATAAAACAAAAAAGGCAATTTAATTTCACTCTGGTCATACTGATAGAACAAGTCTAAGGATGTTCTCACAGTGAGAATCTAGGTCATGAGATTACACGGACAAGAATGAACAAAAGATGACAGGTTTTGCACATCCCACTGAATCTTCTTCATGCCAAGAATGTTCCCCTATATCAAGGGGTTGGAGGTCATTCTCCATTCGGCATAGTCCTGGAATCATGGAATTTAAGATAAACTTAGGAATCCAGAAAGTCAGAAAAGAATGAATCATGGATGTCTCTTTCCTCATCACTTCTCACCACCTTTTCACTGCCATATAAATCTGAATTATGCATTACAATTTAGAAATACCACACTAAAATGTTCCTGTTTCGAATCTGGTTTATAATGGTATTTCCTGAACATTGGGATAGGATGAATTACTTAAAATATTGTCTGTGTTAAGTACTCTGAAATTGATCCCTGTTTAGTTATAGTTAAACATTTCCCAGTTTTTTTTCAGTCAACTATGCGCTGTTACCTTCACGGCCTCACTCCCTAATGTTGTCCTTCTCTAACTCAAATATTCATATATCCATGTAGATGGGCTCCGCCTTCAGATTTTTTTCCTCTAGTTGTTTCCTCATCCAGCTTATTGTAAATAAAACTAACTTTCCTTATCTCTTTCAATTCCATGTTCAGATATCTCTTCCTAATAAGTATTACCTTGACAGCCAACCTTTATCATACAACACGCCTATTTCCATGGACTTGGGAGTCCTTGTTCCCTTACCTTTTACTTTGCTTCCTTTCTTATTAGCCCCCTTTTACCTATTGTGCAACTGCATTATTATGCTATTTCTCTACACCTGTATCCTTTCCTACAAAATAAATCCTTAGTGACTTTATACACTAACCTATCCAACTGCTTCAAATATTAGATGCCACATTGTAATTAAATAAACAAAACTGATACTTTAAAGGATTAAATAAAGCCCAAAAGTGTGTTGTAAGCATGCATCAGTATTGTTAAATATCCATAAAATTAGCCAGATGCTGTCTAGAAGATACTTTTAAAAGATTAATGCCACTCGGGCTGGAGAGATGGCTCAACCGTTAAAGGCTAGGCTCACAACCAAAAATATAAAAGATTAATGCCACTAATTTGGTAGAATATGTGTGAGGTGTGTGTTTATGTATGCATAGTATATATATATATATAATATACGTATATAATATATGATACACATATATGTGTATATAAATGAGGAAAGGAAAAACTGAACAATTTTTAACTTATTTACACTTTCATTGAGTAAAAACAGGTTTATTTTATGATCTACTAGTTTCTTAATGTACTTATGAATGCTAAACAACATGGTTTAAAATAATTGTAATTAACACATACTTTGGAGAATGAGTTGCAGTTTTAAAAAATAGAAACACAACAAAAAAATGAATCAGAGAAAATAGCATAATCAAATTTAATCATGCAGGAATTTGTTAATGACTGACTAACAAGCTGGCAAAGTTCCATTTGGAGATGACTGGGTTATAAGGGATGATAGTTTATCTGGGATAGGGACTAATTCCTGGTAATTACATGCATGACAGTAACAGCTTATGTAGGTTTATTCCACAATAAACAAACATTCAAAATAATGTAGGAGAATTCTTTGTGGTCTCTAAATAGCCTCCTGCTAGACACTACGACATGTTTTAGATGGTGTGGAATTTTCATCTGGGAAAAATATGTGAAAATTCATATGAATAAGAGCAAATGAACACTTTCACTTAAGTCACTAGATATATTCAGGAGCAGTAGTCCCAGATCCAGTGAGTGCACTGAATAGAGCAGGGCACATAGTATGGAACTTCAGACATGAATACTGCAGCACTAAGTTGAAATGACTTTATAATTCTCCTTGGAAGCCTATAACTAACCACTGGGGAAGATTTAGCTCTGACTCTTCCTTTCACCCAGGAAGCTAATGAGGCAGTATGGATGGGAAGAAACGAGAGAAGTGGCCTCCACATATCTTTTCATCGGCCTCACTCTAAATCTTATCTGGCTTACTTTGATTCTGGTCATGGCCTGCTCTTCACTCAGCCGGTCATAACTGCCTCTCCACACTTGCCTAGACCTAATATTCCAGGGTGGTAGACTCTTAAATTCTAACAAGTTTCAGATGAGTCACCTTTGCTAAGTAAGTATATCTGAGCCAAGTGTTCTCAGTGCTTAAATTTGTGACTCACTGTTTCAGGTGAACTGTTCTCATGGAAAATTGTTTGGATAACGATTTTGAGTACAATATTGTCTGTGCTAATAGCCTTTCTCATGATGTCCTTTGTTCAGCAAAATGTCATACATGGTAAGTAGGTATGAGTGGTGGGGAGCACAAATGGGAGATGGGCATGTATCAAAAGCTATCCAATAACTGTGTGCCAAGATAGTCTGCCGAGGAAGTCCTAAACTCTTGGGTGACATGTTACATAGGACCTTATACACTTGTGGTCCTAATGTCTCAGATTTCACTGATAAGTTTCTCAGAACAATGTTTGCAAACGCTGGTGGAGCCTTTATTTTAACCAATTTAAACCCCTTTTGCCTATGGTGAATGACATCCAATTTGATCAGGGAACTGTAAAGATAAAAGGTCTGTATGACATCACACATGTTGGAGTGAGACATTCAGTAGTATGACTATCTTTGATTATCAGGACTCAAGTAAATACTTGCTTACACATGATTCTGTAAGTAATCTCAGATAAACTGATTGGTGCACTAATGACTCATGTGGAATCTTCATTCTGTCCTTAGTGCTTGATTGAAGTGAATAAACATTTGTTTTTGTCTACACAGAAAAAGTTAGAAAAGAGATAATTCAAAACATACACAGGATGCACAAAGAGAATTATCAATGAGAAGGAGATCAATCTGAAGAAAAGGCATCTATGTAGGTCAATCTCAATATAAATACCTTTTCCCATGTGATATGGGATGATGACTTTCCATCATGTAGTGACAGGTGAATTTTCACTGTGAAGTATTCTAAACCATGAAACTAAGACTGAGATATCTGAGAGTAGAGAATCCATTGGGAAGGATGTTCTAAGTATAGACATCTTACTTTACATAGTATGGCATCAAGTGGAATATTTCATTGATGAATGGGATCTGCTCCACGTGAGTATGGAGATACACCTAAAATGCCTGTTACACTGTATAAGGCAATCACTGAAAGTAACTCATACCACAGAAGATCATAGGAAATCACTGTCAGCAGTTACAAACCTTTGCTGTGGCTGATAAGGCATGAAAGGGAGGCTCATCTGTCTGCACAGAAAGAAATTTCCCACAGGAGTGAGGGATGATTACATGAAACACATAATGGTATTGCTATTCTCCATACTAGTCTCAGATTTCTAAGAAAAAGAGAAAAACGAAACGATGAGAAGATGTCAACTGGCTTTTTTTCCATAGCTGGATCAAGTTGGATCTTTACAAAGGAGTTCTCCCTTGGAAAAAATGACTTAGATACTATAGAAAAGAAATCAAATGTTATGGAGGAAGAATACAATGAGATACTGATAGAATACCTAGTATGAATACAATCATATGTAATACTGATATAAATCAAGTTCAACTTATAATATCAGAAAATAAAAAAATGAAATTATAATATTTAGGGGAAAATGTGCGACTGAGCTGCTTAAATTTGAGATGATTTAAAATAATAAATGAGTTTCACAGAACTAAGATTGTGATGCTGTGGGACAAAAGATCAGATGGGACCAATATGGATATCCTAGAATAGGAGAAAGAGTAAAGTAACGATGCATCCTGCAAAACCTGAGGCAATGAAAAGATATCAGTCTGAATGAACAGACTTAAAGGAGAAAAAAGTGTCCAATAGTTCTCATACATCACAAAAACAATTTTAGCGCTGTTGGTTGTGCCAAAACTATATGATAAGAATCTATTGCTAAAGACACTGAATACTTACGTATAGAATATAAAATTCAGGATAGGAGAGAAATGGAATCACCCTCGCTGACAGTGGGATTTCATAGTGCAAGTTGCTGCTAAGTAGATTACTAAAGTTTTCATAAACAGTTGCAGAGTTCCCACCAATTGCATTTTAACACAAGTGTTTCTACCGATAGAGTATTTCTGCTATTAGAATATAGAGGAAAATTAATATTTTGCACTATTTGTGGAAACACACAACTAGCCAACCTCTTGGGAATCAGTGACTTTTCTTACAACATTGTGACTTAAATTTCAGCCCCAATAAAACAAAATTAATTGGCATCAACACAATTCTCTCCAAATTTCAGAAAGGTCATGACTGATTCAAAGCATACAAGATAAGGAGGAAGCACTGAATGCTGTGTATGTCTGTCCTTTACCGAGAAACATTTCTTCTTGGAGAATGAATGAAGCTAAGGCACTTAACACTTCAGAAGCTAAGAAAACTTAAAGGGATCAAGAAGCTCACACAGCTTAAAAATCTCATGATTCTCATCCTCATTATTGCTAAAAAAAAAAAAAAATCAGTAAGGAAACTATGAAGAGAAGTTCTTTCCAGTGTAAGTCATTTGTAAGTTGAACACAAAGCTCAAGAGAGGCAATATTCATGAATTACTAAGTGGTGTGTCATACTAAAGAGGATCCTTCAGCTATACAGTTACTTTTTTTTTTTTTTTTGGTTTTTTGAGACAGGGTTTCTCTGTGTAGCCTAGTGCCTTTCCTGGATCTCGCTCTGTAGACCAGGCTGGCCTTGAACTCACAAAGATCCACCTGCCTCTGCCTCCCGAGTGCTGGGATTAAAGGCGTGCGCCACCACCGCCCAGCTTACAGTTACTCTTGAGATAGCTATGTTCCTGCAAGTAGACCCAGGAAACTCATTGGTCCACCAAACTGGACTTGGTTGGAATACATTTTTTGTTTATTACAGATGTCATATCTAAGATTCATTTTTATTCTAATTTACCATAACAAATCATACAGAAAGGTACCCCAGAAACCTCAAATTTGAAAATAGATATGGCCCAGCATTTCTAGCACTCAGTGTATACTCAAAAGACACCAAATCATGATAGAACTGAGACAATTTTACATCTCAATTTATTGGAGCACTACTCACAATTGCCAAGTGTGAAAGCAGTTTCTATGTCTGTGAACAATGGTGTAGATAAAAATATATGAAACTTCGATATTTATGCATGTTGAAGTTTTATTCTATTATACAATACAGAATTATCATTTGTAGCATATGGAGTGGATGCAATAGGAAATTGATATTATAACTGAGATAGCCCAGAAATACAGATAACAAGAATATCTTCATTTGGAGATTACAGATTAAAAGAAATACAAACATTTTAAATATGTGTGATAATGGATCTTTAGCAGCTTTGCTGTGACCCATAGTGGGATGTGATCTTTGTGATGTAGAAGAGGTTAATCACTGAAACTCAAAGGTTCATAATAAATTAGATGGAATCTTCAGTCTATCATGAGTGCTCGATTAAATGGAATAAACATTTGTTTTGGTCTACCCAGGGATAGTTAGACAGGAGTCGAATAAAAACATCCTCAGGAAGCAGAAAGACACTTACCAATGTGATGGAGATCAATCTGAAGGTAGGCATCTACGTAGGTCAATCTCAATATGAATATATTTTTCCATGTGTTTTGGGATGATGACTTTCTATCATGTAGTGACAGGGGAATTCTCCCTCTGATGTATTATAAATCGTGAAACTAAGACTGAGATATCTGAGATTAGAGAATCCAATGGGAAGGTTGTTTTAAGTGTGGACATCTTCCTTTACATAGTATGGAATCAGGTAGAATGCTTCATTGGTGAATGGGATTTGCTCCATGTGAGTATAGAGATAAAACCTATATGCTTGGTACACTGTATAAGGCAATCTCTGAAAGTAACTCATATTACAGAAGATCATAAGGAATCACTGTGAGCAGTAACAGACCTTTTCTGTGGTGGATAAGGTATGACATGAAGGCTTATCTGTCTGCACAAAAAGAAATTTCCCACAGGAGTGTGGAATGATTATATAAAACACATAAAAGTATTGCTATTCTCCATACTAGTCTCAGATTTCTCAGGAAAAGAGAAAGAAAGGGAGGATGATAAGATGTCAACTGTCCTTTTTCCACACCTGGAACAAGTTGGAACTTTACAATGGAGCTCTCCTTTGGAATTAAATGACTTAGCTACTACTGTAAAGAAATCAAATGTTATGGAGGAAGATTACAATGAGATACTGATAGAATATCTGTTATGTATACAATAATATGTGATAATGATATAAATCAATTTTGATTTTTAATATTAGGAAATAAAAGAAATGAAATTATCATATTTAGGGAATAATAAGGATATGAGCAGCTAAAATTTGAGATGATTCAAAAACATAAATGAGTTTCTCAGAACTTATATTGTGATGTTGTGGGACATAGGATCAGGTGGGACCAATACTGGTATCCAAGAATAGGAGAAACAGTAAAGTAACTATCCATCCATCATAACCTGAGGCAATGAAAAGAGATCATTATGAATGAACTGAATTAAATGAGACAAAAGTGTCTTTTGGTCCTCACACACAACAAAAGCAATTTTAATGCTGTTGGTTGTGCCAAAACTACAAGTTAAGGACCTCCTGCTAAAGACACTGTATTCTTTGGCTATAGAACATAAAAATTCAGGATAGGACAGAGATGGAATCTCCCTCCCTGACTGTGGGATTTCATGGTGCCAGTTTGGTGCTATGTAGACTATTAATGTTTTCATAAATAGTTGTAGAGTGCTCACCAAATTGCATTTTAACACAAGTGTTTATACCCATTTATAGAGTACTGCTGCTATTAGAATAGAGAGGAAAATTAAACTTTTGACAATCTGTGGAAACACACAACTAGCCAACCTCGTGGGAATCAGTGACTTTTCTTACAACATCGTGATTAAATTTCAGCCATGTTAAAAAAAATTAATTGGCATCAACATAATTCTCTCCAAAATTCATAAATGTCATGACTGATTCAAAAGCATACAATATCTGGAGGAAGGGGTGAATGTTGTGTAGGTGTGTCCTTCACCAAGAAGTATTTCTTCTTCAAGAGTGAAGGGAGCCTCATGACACGTAGGAAGCTAAGGAAACTTAAATGGATCAGGAAGCTCACACAACTTACAAATCTCATGTATCTCATCCTCGTTATTGCTAAAAAAAAAATTCGTAAGGAAACTATGAAGAGAAGATCTTTTCAGTGTAAGTCACTTACAAGTTGAAAACAGAGCTTCAGAGAAGCAATGTTCATAAATTACTAAATGGTGTTTCATACTAA